TTTTTTTTTATTTTTAATTTGAACAGTATACACCAGTCGAAACACCAAATTTTGACCAAAACAAAATTATATTATGTATAATTTTGATTAATATAAAAAATCGATACATATCAACCAACCATATTGATCGGTACGAAATGGAATTGATGACATTGATTTTGATTGCTGTGATGATGATGAAAGCAGGTAAAAAGACGTGATTTTTAACTTTTTGATAAGTGGAACTGGTGGTGATGATGAGAAAAGAAGGAAAAAAATGTTATGAAGTGGGTGTTGCAATTTACCATTTACGTTGTACAATATTAATTATATAAAAAAATTGAGTTTTTAATTATTGGTATTTTTTATTTAATATTATTATTTTATAATTTAATATAATTAAAATTATAAAAATAGATTCTTTAAAAGAAGGAAGTTAGAGTGTAATTTAGAAAAGGTTCTTATATAAATAAGAATATAAATCTTGTTATTTTTTATTTAAACATATAAATTTTTTAAGTTTTTAAATGGTATAAACTTTTATTTTTTATTTAAAAATACAAATTTTATTATTTTAAAAAAATATAAATTTTATTTTATTTTAATTAAAATTATCATTTATTATATCATTATTACTATTTTAAAATAAAAATAGAGTAAAGTTCAGACCTCTATTTTAAAAAAAATTAAAAATTTACATCTTGATTTCAAAATTCGGAAAAATTTATATCTTTAAATAAAAAATGAGAAAATTTGTATCACTATATGTACTTTTTATTAACTATTGACTCATTATGATTTGATATATAAAATTTATTCTCTTTCAAATTGATAAAAAAGATTTTAAAAAATGTAAAAATTATCTATTTCTTAAACTTTTGTAAATTTTTTAATGACGTTGTTTGCCAACACTTACGTGGCACCATGTAAAACGTATGTGACTTCGTGACATCAAAGGTTCATAGCCGAAGGGATAACTATTACCACAGAAAAAATATATATTAAGATTACATAAATTCTCTTTAAATTATAGCGTTTTTAAAGACAATATTAAAAAAAAAAAAATTACATGACGTTAAGATTTTCTTCTGGGAAACCACGACCCAATCCGAGGTTCATTAACTTCAAGGGGTATGCTTACAAAAGCCACTTGATGATTCCCCACACAAAATTAATTAAGGGAGCTGATTTGACATTAACTTCTTTTTTTTATTTACAAAATCAAACTCATTATTAATTTGAAATAAAGTGGTACTCTTACCCTTACATTCTTAAAAATTTTAAATTATCATAACACCGTACTAGGAAATATCTGAGTAAAACAATAGATTTAGCACTCTTAATAAATTGATACTTGCGTGATATTTTCATTAACTTGATAAATGTTTCCTCAATATGTATGGAATTGTAGGTAATGTCATAATGCACGTGCTCTGTTGAATTTGTTAATGCAAGTTACAACTAAGAAAAAAACATGCATATTTTGCTAATCAAACAATTTGGGTCAAGGGCACGTGGTGGTGCCAACTAATATCGGAAAATGAAATCAAAACCGTACGTAGTTGGATTCTTATCTATCTTTTCACTTTCGGTGAGTGTGGACGTTGACTTTTAGCAAGAGAAACACAGAAAAAAAAAAGTGCGTAAGTTACGTGATTAATCCCAAGGTTACATAAGGCAATTAAAAGTTAATATATTAACAGGAGTTTAATTGAATTGATATTTATTAATATTCAATTTGTTTAAGTTGTTAAGGAGCCACTATCTGATCTCTCTAATTGGATGAATAAATTTTTTTGAACACAATAGCAAGGTTTTCAATACCAAATTGGTATATGTACTGATTTTATTATTGAAATGATATATATTAAATATAAAAATTTTTCATATACAACTTCAGATTTATTATTATAAAAGTATATATTTTTGTATAAATTAAGGATTTATTCAGTATGGTTGTTTTTTAGCTTTTGGTTTTGGTTTTTGATTTTAAAATTTAAACAATCAAAATTAATGATTAAAAATCAAAATTAAAAATTAAAATTACCAACTCATGAGATATAAAATTTTAAAACAAATACCAAAAATTGCAAACTTAATTAATCTATAGAACTATTTAATTTTATTTTAGGGTTTTTAAAATTTTAAAAACCAAAACAAAAAACTCAAAACCTCAACTATACCAAACATAACCTAAATATATAAATGTGGAATAATAATTCATGAGCATTAGAGAAATTAATACCAAAAAATTAATATTTTAGAAATTAAAAACATATTTAAAATGACAAAATTCATGAAATATTAATATTATAATATTAAAAAAATAATATATCAACGTATTCTGCATTTATTTACAACATATTCATATATATATATATATATTCATTTGAGTCTAAATCCATCCCAACTAAAAAAATTAACTATTTATTTAGATTTGTAATATATTCTTTCAACTCTAAATCAAATTAAATGATCATCGAACCCATTTAGTAAAAAAAAAAAAAAATTTGGGAAATAGGTCTTGGTTTATGTATATATATTAAAAAACAAATACATTTTGTTGACAAAAAGATAGGTACATTGATAAATGTATTTTTTTAAGAGATAAACATTGTTTCACGAAATTGTTTGGTAAGTGATATTTTTTGTTATTTAAAAAAAATACCAAAAAAAAAAATGTACTGGTAACATTTCAGCATATCGGTTGATACATTGAAATTCTAATTAATTTGCTAAAGTTCGACCAAAGTATTCACTATTTGACCAAAACAGAACCTAACTTCACACCGTTTTGGATTAAGCCTAAAGCCAAAACATATTAACTAGTGCAAAACGGAATTGATAACCTTGCACAATAAGCCTAATGCATGAACACATGCATAAAGCTTTGGACACAATAGCTAGCCTCGGCATTCTAAGTTCTTATTGAGATGTTGATAGCCCTAACAATGTATTTGTATTGAGGGATTAGAGGGAAAGGGGAGGAGAGTAAAGAGAAGATGTTTCCCCCTTTATTTGGATTTCTTCATTAATGGAAGAGGAAGGATGGAGGGGTGATGGAGCTGTTTCAACTCTTTTATTTTTCATCCCTCCAAATCGGAAGGATTGAGATGAATTTGGTTTACACATTTAATTTTTTTAAAAATAAATATATAAATATTTTATTTTAATTATTTTTTAATTAGTAAATTTTAAATATTTTATTTTATTTATCTTTAAATTATTTAATTAAATGAAAATATTATCTCTCTCTGCTACTTTTGTTTACCCAAATAAATTTAATATCAATCATTTCTTTCCGTTTACTTCTCCTTTCCCCTCCCATCCCCTCCTCTCCTTAATTTTTATCCAATTAGAT